TATTCGACGCGCATATCAAGTGGTTGGGTGGGCGCAGCGTCTTCCTCATGCACCGTTTTTGCGTTTCACAGAGGCGCTTGTTTTTTTTTCGACGAGTTCCAGCAACGCGCCACGACATGGTAGACGTTTCGCAGCAAACATATGGACTGGACATGGTGGTAAATCCGTTGCTACTGCGATCCAAGCGCAAGAAGCGCAGACTGACAGATTGGCAAAGATCATGCACAGCAGAGGTTACAGCGATCGGGAGTATCAGAAGATGCTGGCGCTAAATGCATATTCTGTGATCGCGAACAAGGAACCTAATAACACATATTATGAACGTGCCCGCGCTGGAATGCCGAGCGGAAGGCCTTGCCCCCCCTGCCCCAGGCCCAGGAAGCTGAACATGAACAGTAGCCGTCATCGACCCGACGCTGTGGACTCGCGTTCATGGGCAACGAGACCGTCGAGCTCTACAACGACATGGTCTCCGAGCCCGAGCTCCCGCAGCATCGCCCTCCGCCCGAGCTGGGCGGGGGGCCCGCGGAGGACCAGGTCAACGGCGTGACCGACGACTGCGGCAAGCACTGGATGGCCGTCGCGACCGACGGCGCATGCCGCTTCCCCAAGAACCTTTGGCTCGCGCGGGCGGGCTACGCCATCTGCGCTGCTCCTCGGCGCAGGCTCAACTTTGCGGCGAAGTTGGCTGGCCCCCGCCAGAGTGGCGCACGAGCAGAGGCCGCGGCATTGCATCACCTCGCGCGCGCGGCGGAAGTGCCCGCGTGGATATTCTGCGACTTCGAGCAGCGCGTGGAAGTGTTCCAGAATTTGTTGGACGGAGGGGCGCCGCCGTCAGGCAGCTGGCACGACGTCTGGCATCAAATTCAGGCCGTGCTCGAGATCAAGAACGACATGTTTCAGATCGAGCGCGTCTTCTCACATCAGGGCGAAGGCGGAGTGGGCCGCGGAGCCGCCCCGCCCCTTGCTGAAGAAATCAATGAAGACATTGACCAGCCCGCCGCTGATGCCGCCAAGTTGCACCCCCTTTCCCGACCCCAGTCATTAACATAGCCAGGTGCCGTTTTTCCTTGGCCACCACCATGCACAACACGATCGTGCAGATCCTAGAGAAGCGAGCCCTCACCCGACCCCTGCCCCATCGGTCCGCGGGGCACACGGAGGCCCACCTCGCTCGTCTCGCTCCTTTGACCTCTGCCCCTCTCCTTCCTCCTGCCCCCCCCCCCCGGCTGGAGGGGGGAACGGGGGTCGATGGCGAGCTCGACGACGGGGCCGATTCTGATGTGTGTTGGGTTTGGCTTAGAGCTCGGCTAGCCGTCTTTAATCAATCCCGTAGCTACTATCGTGAATCGTGCCCCGTACTGCCTCCGAGGCATAGAGACCCGCAGTCTCCGTCTCGGTTATATTGCGCTGCGAACTCCGACATCCGAGTTCTGATCCGGGGACTTGCCCTTTCTTGTGCAGTGTTTTGCAGATGATTGTGCAGGCCCAGCGAGCCTGGATTTATCACTGCAAAGCGTAGGGCATCATCGTCATCGTCATCACCATCCGCACCATCGTCGTCCATCATCAGCAGCAGCAGCCGCAGAACTAGCATCACCATCATCATTGTTCATCCTAAGTATGATCCTGATCCTTCTCCCTGTAAGTATCCTCCTCATCCTTCTCCCTCCCCCTCCCCTGGCCTCCTTCTCCTCCTCATCCTCCTCCTCCTCCTCCTCCTCCTCCTCAATCGCCATTTCAGCTTCGAACAGAGTTGGCACCGCGCCTCCCTTTGCGGCTTCCCATATCGTTTCTCAGCCTGGGGTTTTCCCACACGTGTTCATGCACTGCCCGCTTCACTTTGGGTTCTCTCCACCTGTGCTTGCAGCATGGGGAAACGCAAAGTTACTCCTGTTTCTCTCCTCGCGAACCCGAGGATGAAGTGGCACAAGGGCTCGGAGGGCCGGTAGCACTACAGTGAGCGTGACGAATTCTACACAAAAAGGTGCGGGAGCACGAGTACCACGCGGTTTGGGTGGATCCAGAAAGCGGCTGGGCCCAGAACGTGATTCGGTACCTGGACAGCCTCGATTAGATTGACGACGGTGTTGTCGAGTGCTGGAAGTGGAGGGCTGCCCCGTCGATGTACGACTAAAGAAGGCGTTCCTTCCTCTCCTTCATTATTTCCTGCCCGATACAAAACGTTATAATTCTTGGGTTGGCACGCGATGCTGATTTCACAGACAAGATGGCGTTCTTTATGTTGCGCACGCTTATTTGGGCTCACAGTCTGTATTCTCCACAGTTTCTTTCCTCATTCAGTTTGGGTTCCTATTATTGAATCGCTTCGCTCATTCCGCCGGCCCGTGATATGGCATCGCTGGTTTTTGTCTGTGTGTTCGTTGCCCATGTTGCGCTCTTGGGGGCGGGTGTCGTTCGGACGCGTTGCGTGGGGAGTTTTGATGGTGAAGCAGTTCCCTGGGGGTCGTCTCTCGATGGGGCGAAATAGAGTCGTCGTCAAGATGCTTCTTTGGGGGGCCTCTTGGGGTCTGTTGAGAGGCCGTTCGGGGGCGCCTGGGAGACATGTTTGAAGCCTTCTGGGGTTTCTTTTGGGCCTCCTGGGAGTCTCCTGGGGCCTCTTGGCGACATCTTGGGGCCTCTTGGAGGCCTCTTGGGGCCTCTTTGGGACCTCCTGGGCGCCACAGTTTCTTTCCTCATTCAGTTTGGGTTCCTATTATTTATTCTCTGCGTCTATCTAATATCTGCCCCTTTTACCTTCACATTCTCGTGATCACGGGTCTTCCATGCTGCTTTATGCGTTGCCGCCTTAGTTCAAAGTGATTTCATCACCCTCACTATAGTTGAGTTATTTTAAAATTCAAAAGTGAACACCGCCTGGAGGTTTCAAGTCATGAAGTGGGTTCAGCTTATCATTATGGGTTCTTCTCTTTGCTATTTCTTCCCCTTTCGCCTGATTCCTTTTCTCCCCCACCAACTGTCGATGTGACGGCTGGCGGCGGCACTCCTAAGTCGCGTGGATCTGGGGAACCCGTCTTTAAGGGCGTGCCATCATCATCATCATCATCATCATCATCATCATCATCATCATCATCATCATCATCCTTCCCCTCGTTTTCCTTCTCCTCCTCCTCATCTTCCTCCTTTCCCTCTTTTTCCTCCTCCTCACCTATTTTGTTATTTTTTTCTCCACCTCTGCCGCCTTCTCCTCCCGTTTCATTCGCGCCCCGAGACGGGCCGGCAGGGTGGGCCAGGCGTTTCGTTCAAGATCCCCTTACCGTTTGTGATCTTGAAGCTCGGACTTTGCAGCAGCTGCACGCTTGGAGGGAGGGCCGCGTTCAATAGGTGGCTTTCGCTTTAGCGCCGCGTACAGTCGTTTGAACAAATTGCAAAAGTTACCCTGGCTAGGGCGGTCCGTTTTCAAAAGGTGGTTTTCGCGTTAGCTCCGCGCAGACTCGTTGTTGCAAGAGTTTCACGGGCGAGGGGCGCGCCGTTTTCAAAACACGTTTTTCGCCGCAGCGCCGCGCGCGTTCGTTCCAAAATATTCGACGAGCTGCAAGGATGGAGGGCGGGCAGTTTTCGCAACACAGCTCTCACCTCAGCGCCGCGCACATTCGTTTTTCAAAGCTTGCCAGAGCTTCGCGGGTGGACGGCGGTTCTTTTTCAAGCGTGGTGCTCGCAGCAGCGCCGCGCATCTGCGCTTCATCCTTTCCATAACCGCTCCGAGGATTTCGATGGTTGTCGTCCCAGGAATGGTTTTCTGACACGATTTTGGAGTGGCGGGGCGCGACGATCACGTTGATTCGCGGTGTTGACGTCTCAGAAATGAAGTTCTGGCACGGATTACGATCCCCAGGTCGTAGCAGTAATTTGGCACGTTTGAAGTTTTCCAAACGGTTGTCTCCCAACGGGGCTCCTCCTGCAGTGCAGAACCGGTTCCTGGAGGAGCCTACGAAGACAACAAAAAAAGAGTTTGGAGGGAGGGTTTGTTACAACATCTTTGAGTCTTGGGTCTGCACTGGTCCTCCCCCTCCTCCTCCTCCTCCTCCTCCTCCTCCTCCTCCTCCTTTTCCTCCCTTCCTGTCTCCCTCCCTGCCTCCTTCCCTGCCTCCTTACCTCCTTCCTCCCTGCCTCCCTGCCTCCCTCCCTCCCTCCTCTTCCCTGCTCCCTGCTCCCTCGCCCTCCTCCCCCAACAGCTATCCGTCTCCTCTACCCTCCCCCTCTGCTCTGTCCTCCCTCGTCCTCTTCTTCCTTCCTTCGCCTCCTCCTCCCCCTTTTTTCTGTCGTTTCCTTGCTTTCTGCTCCTGGTTTTTCTCCTTCAACTTCCGTCCCTCCACCCCCTCCTTTGTCCTCATCCACTTCCGCTTTGGCCACTCATCAGGTAAACGAGATTCGTTACCCCCGCGTGCCCAGCTCCTTTCCTGCGGAAGTATCACCAGGGCACCCGCCTCTTCCTGTTCATCCTTTATCGCTATTTTTGTCGCTCCTCGTTTTTTTCCCCCGTCCTCGCTCCCTCCGTGTCTTCGTCCCCCTTGCTCGCCCCCTCCTACTTTTATCCCTCCACCCTCGCTTATCTTCGTCCTCATTCAGTCTGGACGCTCCTCATATTCGACCTCTCCTCCAGCGCCCTCGATTGACGGCAACGACGACGACTATAACCGACGACGACGACAGAAGACCGACGACCAACTGACGACGACGACGAAGCTGACGATCACTGACAACGGCAGCGGTGACGACACACGACGGACTGCACACGACAGTGAGCCACGACAATGACGGCGACAACGCACGAACGACGGCCCAGGACTGGCCGACTGCCGACGACCCGCGAACACGACCAGCGACGACGGCCGCCACCACTGTGATGACAAAGGTCGACTGACGACCGACGATGCACGACGACAGCGACGTCAACGGACGACGACGACGACGACGACGACGACGACGACGACGACGACGACGACGAGACCTCGCGCTTTGTGCCCGTGCGGGCGAAGGCGCCGTCCAGGCGTGGAACCTGGCCCATCCGGAGCCTCCGGCCGGGGCCCGGCCGGCCGGAGCACCCGCGCAGGAGGAGGGGGAGGATGAGTAGGGAGGAGGAGGTGGAGGAGGAGAATCGGGTATAGCCAACCCTGACTCCAGATCCAACCCCTCCTGCTGCTGCTGCTGCTGCTGCTCCTCCTCCTCCTCCTCCAATCGCGCACGCTGTGCATTATGAGACAGCCGACGTGCAGTCGCTCCCGTAAAGCGGCGAGATCAGGCTGGCATTGTCTTGTGCCCACGCGCTCCGGCGTATGGCAGTTCGTTCGTTCGTTGGCTTTTTTTTCAAGCTTAAAATTGCTTCGGAAATCCACCTATAAGAGGCCGAACAAGTAGGGCGGAAATTTCTGCACCCAGCATCAAGTAGGGCGGAAATCCACAGAAGTAGGGCGGAAACAGCAACAGAAAAGTAGGGCGGAAATTGGCATCAGCGGGGCCTGAAAAGTAAGGCGGAAATTCGAAGCCCTACTTACAAATTTCCCCAAAGTAGGGCGGATCCGGAGTCAGGGAAGACCCCAGGTACGGTTAGTAGTAGGGCCCTGGAGCACCTAAATTGGCCAGAATCACTAAACCAGGTCTGCCGCAGCTTGTGTTTTTTCGTTCGACGGCAGTTCCGACTAGTGGAACGGGGCGGGGGGGGCGTCCCCCAGTACGCATCACTGAACCAGGTCCCACCAAACCCAGTTCTGCCAACGCCCGAGAGAAGGAGGATTGGGAGGGAAAGGAGGCGGAGGGAAAGGAGTGAGAAGGAGGACGAAGAGGAGGGAGAAGGAGGAGGAGGAGGAGGAGGAGGAGGAGGAGGAGGAGGATAAGGCAACAACGGCTCCCGCTGGATTGTCCCTCGAAAGGTATTCCAATGTCGCGCTCCCGCGCGGGAGTTCTCCACAAGCTGTCCAGCAGTCTCGCTCTTGCGTGGCACTTCCTTCTCGCAATTTATCCAGGCGCCGCGCCCTCGACACTCAGGAATCACGCTCTCGCTCTGGCCTTTATCACGATCGACTTGGGAATCGCGCTATCGCTCGAGACTTCCTCGCGATGTATGCGGGACTCACGCTTCGGCAACCCGCCTGCTCGACCTGGCCGCCTGGGCCCGATTTACCCGCCCCTCAGGGTCCACTCTCCCGGCCCGCCCGTTTGGTTCAGCCGTTTGCATTCCTGCTCCTAACCCCCTCTTGCAAATCTCTCTCGTGCTCCGTCCTTCTCCCTCCCCCTTCCATTCGTCTTCTTTTCCCCTGTTTACGAGACTGCGCTAGATACATCTGGGAGGTAAGTAGGATTTGCCCCCAAGGGGGGTACGATCGAAAACGAAGAGGGCGGGTACCGAGGGTTTGAGATGTACGTGTTGATTTGCACACGAGCAGATAGGAGCGTTCATCAGTCTTAAAATGACAGTTATTGCTGCTGTTGTTGCTGCTGTTGATGCTGCTGCTGCTGATGATGCTCTTGTTGTTGTTGCTGCTGCTACTGCTGCTGTTGCTGTGGTTATTGTTGACGTTGTTGTTGCTGTTGTTGTTGTTCCTGCTACTGCTGCTGTTGCTGTGGTTATTGTTGACGTTGTTGTTGTTGGTGGTGGTAGTGGCGGTGTTGTTGTTGTAATTGTTGGTCGTGGTGGTGGTGTTGTTGTTGGTGTTGTTATTGTTGTTGTTGTTCTTGTTGTTGTGGTAGCTGTAGCTGCGGTTGTTGTTGCTGCAGTTGTTGAGTTCTCATTCCTAAAGCAGAATTGCTGCTGACCCCTTCCGCTCGTGGTGACGCAACCTCTGTGGCCATCGCCTCGGCGACCGCCGCCCAACTGACTCCCGGGCAAAACGCCGTGGCCGCTGCCCTCGTGTGAAAACCAAACTCGGTGCGCCGCTCCTCGGCCACGGCAGGCACAGGGCCGGCCGACGGCTGGGCCGCCCGCTCCTCCTCCTCCTCCTCCTCCTCCTCCTCCTCCTCTTCTCCTTCTCCTCCTCCTCCTTCTCCTCCTCCTCCTTCTCCTCCTCCTCCTCTCCTTCTCCTCCTCCTCTCCTTCTCCTCCTCCTCTCCTCCTCCTCCTCCTCCTCCTCCTCCTCCTCCTCCTCCTCCTCCTCTCCTTTTCCGCCTCCTCCTCCTCCTCCTCCGCCTCCTCCGAGGCCCGTTCCGTCTCGGACTCGCCTCCGTGGTCTCCCGCGTCCTCCAAGACGACGCAGCGCCTCTGCCCCCGGCTCCCCTTCGGGCCGCGGCCTCCGCGGCCGCGGGGCCCTCCTCCTGGGGTCGCCCGCGCGCTTCCTCGCGTCCCGGGGCTCGCCCTGGCAGTCCGCGGTCTCGTGCCCCCACTTCCCGCGGTTGTCGTCGCAGCTTTCCCCTCGGACGGCTGGCGCGGGGGTGCGCTCCTGCCCCCTGTCTTCCTCGCCTTCTCCTCCTCTGCTCTCTCCTTCTCCTCCGTCGTCTCCCTTTCCTCCTCTGTCTGCTTCTCCTCTTGGTCTGCCCTTGGGGTCTCTTCCTCCTCTGCCGGTCTGCAGACAGTCGACGTCCACGGGCACAGGGCCGCTGGAGCTAGCGCTCTTCCTGCGCTCCCGCAGGGTCACGCGGGCCTTCTTCTCTGTGCGCCCCTCGTAGAAGGTCACCACTTCGGCCCGCAGGCCACTGTACGTCTTCAGGCGGCTCGCGTTCATCTGCAGGTGGTCCTCCCTCGGGAACCAGCGCCTCCAAGGCACTGCACATTTGCTCGTCCGCAGTAGGGGCCTTCTCCTAGCCTCTGCTGATTATTGCTGTACGGCGTGACCATCCAACTGGAGCGCCGTTCTTACTTCTCACAGCTTTACCAAGGGCTCCCACGAGGGCGCGAAGGTATTCGCGCTTCGCGGTCCTCGTTCCTTCTCCCCCTTTTGCTCGTCCTCCTTTTCTCCCTTTGGGGGGGCGGCGCGAGAGCGCGAATGTATTCGCGCTTCGCGCTTCGCGGAGCGCGAAGCGCGAAGCTGGGAGCCCTAGTTTTAGTTAACCCTGTGGGAAGACAGGATGGCTCGAAGCAGCGCCCGGCGCCTGCCGCCTGCCAGCGCGTCGCAGCTCGTGTGCAGCCGGCGCCGTGCCTCCGGACTACTGCGGTCGCAGTCTTGGACGACCCTCCACGGCTCGCCCTCCGTCGGGTTCGAGAGGACCGCCTTGATCTGGAGGTGGAGTGCCCACGTGTCGTCGATGGCATGCTGCGTGCTGGGCGCCCACTCGAGCCCAGCTGCTGGTTGCGCCTCGACTCCGAGCAAGGAGTCCTCTGCTTTCTTGCGCCATTCGGGAAACCTGCATTCGTCGCTGGGGAACGTGCACGTCCTGCCTATATGCCTGTCACGTCGACCAGAACTGGCTGGCCCCTCCTCGAGAGCGCTCTGGTCTGCTCCGTGAGCGCCTCGATCTCGAGACCGATTGGCTCCGTGTAAACGACGGGAGCCGCTGCTGCCGCGCCTCTTTGCGCGGCCCCTCCCACCTGCTGCAGTTGGCCGATCTGCTGCTGCTGCGCGGCCACCGTCGCTGTCAGCTGACGGTTCTCCTGACCAATCGCAGCCACTCGGTTGTTGGACAAAAGTCAAGCACCCCCCCTCTTCCCCCGCAATTCAAACTTGGCACGTGTACGCATCACTGCTCCGACATTCAAGTTCGGGAGATCCGAGCCCAACATTGCATTCGGGGGGAGGGGGGAGTTCACAACATATGTTATGCGTGAGTGCTTCTTAATAGTTACCGACACCTGCTTGTTGCGTCATTTGCTCCATCTGCTGGGTCAACAGCATGAGCTGCTCCTCTGCCATCCTTCCTTTCTGGCGACGGCGGTGCTGCCCGCGTGGACGCCGCTTCTGAAGCCTCTTGCTTTACCCTGCTCTTGTTTCCCTTCTGGCCCGTGCCCCTTTCTGACCCGACTGCAGTGGAGCCCAGACGCGAAACGCCCTTCGAAGCAGTGCGGCCTTTCAGGTTGCAAGGCGGAGAAGTCGACGACGACTTTTTCCCGGAAAGGGCGCCGGCCCAGGGTTCTCTTTTAGTGGGTAAACCTGTCCCCCGGTGCCAACTTGAAGGAGGCCGGCGAATTTTTTCCCTGATAAATATCGAGGTCGAAGGAGGCCGGCGAATTAAAATTTGAGGATGTCTCGAGCGAAACGCTGTTTTTGAAATCGATCGATAAATCCAGGTGCGGGACACTTTGTCGGTGTTGAGGATGTCTCGAGCGAAACGCTTGCTCCGCAGAGTTTGCCGGAGGAATCTGTCTCGAGCGAAACGCTGTTTTGCAGAAAGCCGACCGCCGACGCGGAAAAGCGCCGCCGCGAAGGAATTTCCGATGATGTTCGACACTAATTTGTCTTGTTTGTACGATTTCCTGGAATTTTGGCAGGATGTCTGAGCGATATGCACGACCCCACCCTAGCACGACCATTCCCCAGCACGACCACACCCCAGCACGACCAGACCACAGCACGACCCCACCCCAGCACGACCCCACCCCAGCACGACCATACCCCAGCACGACCACACCCCAGCACGACCCGAACCCAGCACGACCCTACCCCAGCAAGACCACACCCCAGCACGACCACACCCCAGCACGACCTCACCACAGCACGACCACACCCCAGCACGACCACGCCCCAGCACGACCACGCCCCAGCACGACCACGCCCCAGCACGACCACCACCCAGCTCGACC